CTGAGCATCTTTCTCTTTGACACCATGTCTGATATCCCACGTGATCTGTCAAATACTAATGCATGAAAATCCTAACCTCAAAAAAATCACCCGTTACAAAAAAGAATCACTTTTATGATAGATTATAATAGTTCTGTTCACCTAACGGTTCACGTGTCTCTTACAACTAATTGAAATTGATATTATATATAAATTGCGAGTTAAAGTGCCATAACTAAGCACTAAATTAAGACACAAATTTAAATTTGGCACAGGGGAACGATAAAGCAAGGGCACCTGTGAGCCCCGCCCTCTAATAAGTTTAATGTACATATCTCCTACCAAACCTAAAAAACTACAATAACCATGACTACCCAGCACAAGCACTTTAAGAACTCCTACCGACAGTGTGAATATGCATGAAATCGGAAGATAACCCCATCCACTTCCAATATAACGGTACTGCTGAAACTTCTTAAAACTACTCAAAGCGCGATAAATCAATAACTAAAGGCAGAGACTTTCAACTTTGCAGCTTAGATGATATGAGAGAATTGTATTGAAGCCGAGGTAAAATTGGGCAAACACGGTCACCCGACCAAATTCAACCAAATTTCATACGTACCGTCTGATCTTTTGAAAATTACAGGACGTGTTTTACCCATAACAGTATATCCTTGTGCATAAAATAGATGAAATGCATAAAATTACTTAAATAAATAGCATAACTATACCTGTATATTGACTGAGTCATGCGACTAGAATTTGCATTGTAAGAGCACTCATAAAACCCAAATAATACTAAAGCAGGAAGAGACTGAGATCATAATGTTACGGTGATCTTGTTAAATGGATGAATAAATATACACACATCTTAAAGAATTGGATAAAAGCTGCAAAAAGCCTGGATTTATAGTGATCCCAAGTTAAAGACACAAAATACGACAAAGAGCAGTTAGTTTGTCAAAAAAGTCTTGCGGTATTTTCGCTAGTTCGCGCTGAGAGTGTGTAGTTCTAGTCGCATCGGGTCATGCTTTACCTTTTTGGAAAGCTCATTTCACGCGCTAACACGTGTTTGATTGATTGTCGTTTCTTTTAAGTCGTTCGTGAGTTATAGCGTCGCAAACATGGAGC